ACATTAGGTATTTAGGAATTATTCTAGATGAAACCCTTTCCTTTAAACAACATATCGCTGCTTTAACATCTAGAGTTCGGAAACTGATAGTTGTTTTTAAAAAATTGCGGTTTATTGGTGATCACAAGCTAATTATTCAAATTTATAAAGCCCTGTGTCAATCGATAATCCAATACTGCATTACTTCTTGGGGTGGAAGTGGAAAAACATTGATACTTCCAATCGAACGAGCCCAAAGAGCCATCTTGAAAGTCGCCACGCGCAGACCGTACCGCTACCCACACAGGCTTACTGTATGAGTCTAGTAAAGTGCTGACAGTGCGACAATTATTCATACTATTTACTGTACTAAAACAGCATGCTACACTTACATATGACGCTAACCTCACTAACACCAAGAGACGGAAAGATATTGTCTGTACTGCTAGTTATGAATCAAAGTACGTATTTACACATAGATTTTTTGCATTTTTAGGGCCATATCTGTACAATAAAATTAATAAAGAAACTTTAGTTTACGATCTAAATTACACCAGAGCAAAACAGCGCATTTCTCAATATCTACTATCATTAAGTTATGATAAAAGCGAGGATTTGTTAATTGTCATTAAATAAATTATATATAAGTAGGTATAAATAGATAATAATTATTTTTAATGCAAGTATAAAGTGGTGTTTCCTGACCGGTGTGTGTATAATTGTATACATACATAGGTTTTGTAATATTTGTAATATTGGTGACTGTGAAAAGTAATATTGTTAAGGCTTAGTTATATTATCCTAATGTATAATGCACGCGACCACAAAGCCTGTGGTACAGATTTAATTCTATACAGGCATAGTATTGTAACCTAACTAGAATAGTTAAATAATAAGCTTAGATTAAGTATATGTGAACAAAATGGAAATAAATATATTTGTTTGTTTGTTTGTTTGTTTGTTTGCTGGGTTTTTAAAAATTCTCAGTGATAGCATGGAGTCTTGAATTCTGCCCGGTATATGGCAGTAGGTTCACCCCCTATTACATGGGACTCATAACATAGAGGTAAATACCTAGTGAAAATGGGTTGTTACATTGTACAGTGGCATTAAGTGCCGTAATGTGCACCTCTGTACCCTTCGGGGATAAAAGGCGTGATGGTATGTTACGTTATATTATTGGAAAAAGGAATACTTTTGTCTTTCTTTTGTTGATAAGAATTAACCATACTTGGCCTTTATGCTCTTCTCTTTAGATTAACTAAAATCATTTCTATTGTTAGAAAATCCACTGAAATTTAATTTACCACTATATACCAAATCTTTAATTGTCTGGAACGAAATAAATTATGTAATTACACGCTTAGCCAGCTTTGATTTCAGCAAAATGCATTTTATGCCCTCTGCATAGAAGATTAATTTGACTGAAAAAACAAATGCCTTTGCTACGCTTGAAACCCAGCATTGTCTCCAAAAACTAAATGTAATTTATTTCTTTACTATTATTACTTACATTAAATAGAATGGGTGGAAAAGAGATAGATATACTTACGCATTTTATGCCTCAAAGGAATCGGCATAAAAGGAATCAGGATTATCTTGTACGATCTCCTTGAAGCTTGAAAATTACGTGTTGACAGACGGAGCTGAGGAAAACTTATTCTTACAGATTAACCTGGCTGGATTAATTTTCTAATTAACTATATTTATGAATGCATTATTAAAAGAATGAAGATAGATAATCTATACATGTAATAAAATTGTATAATGTGTTACTAAAAAGACACCGAACTGAAAAATGTGAAATATTAAACACGCAAAATCTACCGGTGGCGGTGCAAAAAATATCCTCATACAACACTGCCTTTTATCTCAAAGAAGTATATACACGAAAAACCAACTTAATTGTGCAGCTCCATTCCTAGATACAGTTACTATACAGTAACTATGCTAATGTAAAATAGAGAAGCACCCAAATGAACGAGTTGAATGACTTATTGATCAAAATCTATATATATAAAAGAAAGTTGTGTTAGTTACACCACTTATAACTCAAGAACGGCAGAATAGATTTGGCTGAAAATTGGTAGGGAGGTAGCTTTAGAGCCAGGAGACCGACATAGGATACTTTTTAACCAACATTTTTTTTTTACTTTTTACCGAAAATCACGAACGGGGACGGGAAAAAATGGGATTACGCGTACGAAGTCGCGGGCAGAAGCTAGTTTAACATAAAGATTACGTCTGAAAACTAAACCACACATAGGTAATTAGGTATGCTACTTTTTAACACTGAGAACGCGGTCGAAGCCGCTAGCCGAAGCTAGTGAATTAATAATATCCTAATAATATTGTCCAATAGTCCATCATTATGTTTCACATTTGTGCAATCTAGTGAGTAAAATACGGTAGCCCTCATCCTCTTGAAAGAATGAATGATTGTCATTTATTTCTCAGTACATGGAGCACGCAGATCTTAAAATTAACAAAGTTCCACACATAATACCGTTACTGATGTAGAAATATAAAATTGTATTAACATTAACAATTTATGTCTAATTAAAGAACAAATTTATTTAAATTAGTGTTATCATTATTGGAAACATTTTAAATAAATTAAAACAGGTAAAAAAAGAAAATTATTTAGAAATGTCATAACATTACGATGTCATTAAGAAGAAATTATGTTGTAATAATGAAGTCAAATTGTAATAAACTAAAAAGTCAATAAATTAATTATAACGACACATTAGGATATCAGGTGAGCAATTTATAATTAACTAGCTACTTCCACGCGGTTTCACTCGCTCTGCTCGGCGCCTATTAATCGTAGCATGATATTTTATAGCCTATAGCCTTCCTTGATAAATGGGCTATCCCTCACAGAAATAATTTTTCAAATTGGACCAGTAGTTTCGGAGATTAGCGCGTTCAAAAACAAAAAAACAAACTCTTCAGCTTTATAAAAATAGTATAGATTTTGGTCAAACAACATAGAGGCCCGAGATGTCGTGGTGGCCCGGAGGTTTAAGACGCCCACTTCTCATGCATGAGGGTGCGGGTTCGCAACCTACCAACGCCAAGTACCAATGTGACTTTTTCCGAGTTATATCTACTTTCTAAGATTATTTAGATTCAGACAAACGGTGAAGGAAAAACATCGTGAGGAAACCTGGACTTATAATTTCTAATTATAAGTTTGAAATCGTCAACCCGCATTGAGCAAGCGTGGTGATTAATGCTCAAACCTTCTCCGTGTAAGAAGAGGCTTTGCTCAGCAGTGGGCATTTATAGGCTGTTGATGATGATGAACATAGAGGCAATTGATTAGCACGATGATACAAGCCAATAATCCAGCCAAAAGCTTCATATATTTACTCCCAAATATTGACACCGGTAACAGATCACAGATCTAAATCGTATCATTCAGAAGCTTAGGTTTACATTCGAGGACACAAATGTGTGTGCATTTCTCAACGTAGTTTAACGGACGTGTTTCCTATCACGTCGTATTTGTGTAAGTTCGGCTCGTAAGGATATTGATGGCAATGCATTAATTCTCAAGTTTGTTGTCTAGGGTTTGACGAGTTTATCAACTGTTTGGGGACTGTAATGTAGCTGTAATCTAGTTTTGGAATGGAGAGTGGATAATAAAATCGTAGTAAAGTGAAAACTACACTTAAATTGAATATTTTTTAAAAATAATGCTTTGGGCATAATTTACCTCTACAGTCAATACCGAAACCAAAAATATGGTTTATAGAATTTTGGTCTGTTTGTCTGTATGTATGTCCGGGATGAACTCAAAGTGCTGCATGGATTTACTTCAAAATTTGCATGAATATTACTGACAGGTCAGGTCAACATGTAGGCTAACATATTATCATGCTATCAATTGCGGGAGAGGAACTGTAAATCACTATTCCACGGGGACGAAGTCGCGGGCTCAGCTAGTCCTTATAATAAATCTGTAGAGAGGTTAATTTTGTACATTAAATATATTTCCAAAATAACTATCAGGGGGTTATTAGTGATCGATAATAATGCCTTATTGTATAAGTAAATTTTTGTCTGTCTGTCTGTCTGTATGTCCGTCTGTATGTTGCTTATAGAAACAAAAACTACTCGACAGATTTTAACGAAACTTAGTACAATTATTCTTCATACTCCTAGGAAGGTTATACAATACTTTTCATCACGCTACAATCAATAGGAGCGGAGCAGTGAAGGTAAATGTTGGGAAAACGACAGAAGTTAGTCCATTTTTTAAGCTTTCATCGTTTGAGCAGGCTTAATAGTTAATGCTACATAAAAATCTACATAAAATTATCTAAAAAAATATCTTATAGCAGGATATGTCTATCTTTTATGGTTGACTCGCAATGAAATTCAAAACAGAAGTAGATTATGGTATGAAGTAATAAATGGGCATTTTACCCCTGGGATCGCGGGCGATACTACTGGCAAAAGCTAGTAAATAAATAATAAATAAATAAAATAAGTACTGAGAAAAACATGTGACAAACAAAAAAGCAACAATAATTTTATAAATTTTATTCAGTTCAATTCACAAATCACAATTCACAAAGTACACTCGCGATACAAAAACACGACCAACATAGACATAAGTACATCAGAGGGCCAAGCACGAATAATTATCGCATTCGTATCGTAACAGAATCGAGCGCGTTAAGCGTTCTGATTGGTTGGTTCACTTGAGCCGGCTAATCAGAGCGCCGAGTTTAACATACGAACTCTTACTCGCGACATGTACTTGATGAGTAAGATACGTAATAAGCAGTTGCGGAGACACTGACAGGAATTGTTGTTTAGATATGAATTAATAGTTTTGACCCATTATTTTCCGTCTTTTAACAGCTGTGAGCCCAAAGTGGTTTTTGAGTAACGAACTATGTCTCACGACACTTACCATACGATTTATTAATATATCATGTTCTATGAGTTTTGCTTGTACCCAATCTCTATTTGTATACCTTATCTCTACCAGTGGCACTGTACCTTCATAACCTATGATATTCACTATAAAAAGTTCTCTTAAAAAGAATCTTTCTATAAAAACTTCGGAGAAATGTTTGACTACTTCACTGATTTCTTTGTCACGGTTCAAGTGCAAGCCAAACAATTTAACAGATAAAGTGGCAGGAGGATGCTTTAGCCACTTTTGACTTATCTCTCGAATATCTGCTACTGGTATGACGTCCGTGTGACCATGATCAACATACCTTATTTTAACGAGACCTTGTGTTTTGTTATATTGTTGAATTGATGCTCGGTACCAGTGATTGTCTGCTGAGCATAGTGCAATACATGGTTTATTCTCAAATATTCCGTCCAGTGGTGACATGTTCACGTATTCACACTGGAGCTTCATGGACATATCTTCATAAATCGTGTAAACACTTTCATCATCGAACATAAGATGAACAGGTAATGTATTAACATCGTGAATTTCAACGATATCGCAAATAAATTTATTTCCATAATATTTTGGGTATGTAGGAAACTTGGCAGTTATTGCAGAGTCTTCATTTTCCTTTGAGCTTGAACCTGCTTGGATTATCAATTCTTTGTTCTTTTTAATAATCCAACTATCTTGGTATTCAGCCCTTTGAACATTGACTAAGTAATCATTGACCCAGAGGGTCTCATACCGTAGCTCTATTGGTACGACGCCGTCTACTTCATCACCGACCACTTTTACAAAGCATTCTTTTTCAACAATGGATTTGCGAAGGTAGTTTAATGTTTCCTCGTCCCATGTCGTACCTTTGGGACGTATACGATTTAACGAGCATCTAAGTGAATGCGGTGGGATGTGACTGAGAGGAACAGCTTCTCTTAACTTTCCAAAGGAGCACGTTTCAACATACCCATGGTCTATGTTATGAACGACGCATGTTTTACTTTCTTGATTGACTTCAAGCACTCGTCCTCTATAGGGCTGATTTGTAGAATGTAGTACTACGCATTGTTGCCCAACACTCCATTTTCTAAACATTGCTTCTGGGTCAGGGTCTTTAAAACTCACACAAGACTTAGCAAGACAATGTTTGAGGTGAACGTCATATAAATAAATTATGCCCTTATTGTCTATGTGCCTGTAATAAGAAAAAATATAGAGATTAAGTACATACACTTTATAACTGTTAATTAACTAGCCCTACGTTTGAATAAACAAAACTATGAATGACTATTTACAACCTTAAACTGCAAACCAATGTTGTTCCAAAAGTAATAGTTATATGTATGGTCTTAACATATTCGATACTTACGTTGGCAATGCCGTAAATTCCCTAACTTGTAATTCTGGAGGTAGCCAGTCCTCAAAGAAGGAAAGACTGGGATCTTCTTTAGCAACTTCATATTCGGTATTTTTATCAGCTGGAACCTGGAAACAAACAAAAAAGAATTTTAACAAAATACATTTATTTACATAATCTGTAGATCGAACAACATCAACTGAAGAGAAGCTCTCATAATTGCACATTGTATAAAGACCCAATATATATGGATTCATCCATATATTTCTAGTTTTGACGAAAGTAAAATTATATTTGTTACTTACGGCTTGAGGTTCATTAGGGTTGCAGAGCAGCGATTCCATACTTTTAACTAATGAATTTTCATCCATGTTTCCTTCTTCTGCTATTTCCATTTTTGTAGAGGAGACTGTATTCATCAGTTCTTCTGGATGAACTGTGGTATATTTGTTAAGATATAAGTTTGAGTATTCCCCGTCAGTATTATCGTAAAGTAACTCCGACAGACCTTCTACTGCGCTTGCGACTATCTGACTGACTGTGTTCAGTTTGTAAAGTTCCCTTTTATATACTCCGAAAAATTACCACGTTACAGTAAACAATAGAACTTGTTATCAAAGCACAATCTTGTATGGGAGTTAAAGATCAAGACTTTTGTCCATCCCTTTGTTCGAAAACAAATTCGTTTTGTTCTATTTATGAAAAGTTCTATTATGTTAAACAAAGGGTTCTACTTTGGCTATTCAAAAGTATTTTAGTAATTTCGGCTAATTTAAGAAAACATAATTGCCTCATGCACTGAGCGTGGTATTTTAATTTTGTTCGTGGTATTTTTACTGCAATTTTATAAATAGTCCAGGCAAAGATTGTCCAAACAGTTAAATTGATAAGAATTCTTTAAAAAATACCTACGTTACATATAAGGACATAGAAATATTATATTTATACCGTGTGGCCGGAGAGTTGATGTTCAAGCGTAAAATTTAGTTATTTTATAATATGGAGTATCTAAAATACCCCCATGTATGTTTTACGATTTTGCGTAGTTTTCGAGTTATAATATAATTTAAAATAATTCATTACATTTCGTAATTTACACTTAATATTAGTTTTCAATTTTGTCTTATTCTGTTGGACGCTTCTAGTCGAGATCTTTTGTGATAACCGACTAACATACTCTAACGTAGCGTATCCACCGTATGGTCTTAATTTTTTTTAAGGGGGGAAAATCATCGAATGACTTCTCTCGCCTGAGTGAGGCAGGAGGGAGTGTCAGACTCTTACTGACTAAAAACCACCCCGTTTCCGTTCCGTTAGGTTAGGTTAGGTGGGCGAGTCTAGCGTGCCAACAGTGTCGCGCGCGCCGCCGTCGTCGATACCACGAATGGAGAAAGTGCGCGTGAATCATGGCAGAGGGCGCGCTGGGCTCGCAGACTCGAGTAGCCAGTAGCAGCGCCACAGTCGCCGCGTCGCGTGTCGTGAAATGCTGCTCATGAATATGAGCCTCTAGCATTGCTTGAAACTAGTCGAGTTCCTCATCAAATAATTACGTGAGTAAGCCGAAAACATAATAATATATTTAGTATATCTCACGAAAGGTATAATACATAAAAATATATGTTTATTTTTATGCATTAAATCAATGCGACGACATTTTTTTGAAGCGAAATGTTCAATTATCTTTTTATTAAAATCGAGTATTGCTTGTATGAATTTATTTTTAATATAACAATATAATTAGCGCTTCACACATACAGTGAAACTATACTGATAGTCTGATAACTATAGTCAGAATTTTAATTAGATTCCAGATTTGACAATAGCTACTGTCATTTTGTGAAATAATAATACCACATATAATAGTGTAGTGATGCACACAAAAATCGATAAACAATCAGTGTGTGTGTTTTATAATAAATGTTACAGAAAGTGACAGGATAGCGATAGCGATGACGGCGACAATTTATAAAATAACTTATTACCATAATACATCTATCTGTTTTATTTGTCACTAGCTTCTGCCCGCGACTTCGTACGCGTACCACCCTATTTTGTCCCGCCCCCGTTCGTGATTTTCGGAAAAAAGTAAAAAAAGAAATTAGTTAAAAAGTATCCTATGTCCGTCTCCTGGCTCTAAGCTACCTCCCTACCAATTTTCAGCCAAATCTATTCTGCCCATTCTTGAGTTATAAGTGGTGTAACTAACACGACTTTCTTTTATATATATAGAGGTAGATGTTCCTTCATGATTACATTTTTTTATTTATTTCACACATAATTATAAAAGAAAAGTCTCAGATCGTTAATTAATCGTCAAAACTAAATTATCGGTTCAGAAATATTTAATTTCCTGATATACTTAGTTTACGAGAGTAAAATTATAAACGAGAAGAATCGATCCAGAAATTTTGCATTTCCATATCGAATAATTTCGCAACGTCACTATTTAGTACTTGTCATATCGTTGCAACACTGAAATTGTCAAATCTGGACTCGAATTAAAATTCCGAGTATAGATGTCAATCATGGCTGCCGTCACCTCGCGTCCATGCCGGCTGCCCAATTCGTCAAACATCGGGTGCTCTCGGCAATTCTCGGTTCTCCCGTGCGACGCTCGACAATCGACTCATCACCTACTCGATAGATTTCTATGAACTTTCTTTTGTTTCATGCGTCACGCATTTTCAATTGTCAAACACCGCGAGGACACCGGTGACCGCAACCTATTGTTCTTTAGTTGTGTCTATAATGACGGTACTCAAAGGGTATCGTATCGTATCTCCTACAAGTTATATAAGCAGTTCTCGCAGCAATTTGGCTTTATAGGAAAATAAGTCTTATTAGTTTAGTAAAGCGCTCAAACTGTTTCACGATAATCGATTTAAATTTTTATACGTTTTTGTGGGTTTAAAAACAAATATTAAAATAGTAATATAAAAATAAAGCCGAAGTAGGTACTTAATACTTTGTATTTTTTAAATCGTTGAATTGGTGGTTGAGCGCACTTTTTTAAATCTTTTGAATTGAAGTTTCAGCGCACGAGCGCACTTAAGGTACAGCCGCCACTGATTATAGATGAACTTGTTACATACTTTTGATACTTTTATGAATTGCCTGTTTGAAATCATTTAGCCTACCTTCTCATTGCACATCGAAACGCAAAAATCGCAATACATTCAAAGTAATATTGCGCAAACTAAGTTTTGTTCCATAGATCGCTCTCTCAGCAATATTATGTTTGACATCGTGTTCCTCGAGTGTAGGTAATAGCCATAAAAATAAGTAATTCATTCAATAAGAGTGACTAAGTATTATTTCTAAGTCAACAACGAACTCTAGTTTCAGAAAATGTCTAAATAAGAATACAAGGGGATCATTTAACCCTTAGTCTTCCTAACGGTATCCACGTGATGAAATATTTTAAACAATGACGAAATATTAAAAATCACAAGACGACAATGTCTACAATGTAATATTTTTAAAAATATGACTGACAAAAAATAACTATTATTAGTACTGATAGGTTACCCCCCACTGATAGGTTAGAAGTCGGTGCCATAAGCTCATATCATAAAGATATAACTTAATGTCCACAAAATTGTGAATTAGGTACCTATTAAGGTTTTAATGAATAATTTTGTATTGAACTTATGGCACCGACTTCTTACCTATCAGTGGGTGGGTAACCTATCAGTACTAATAATAGTTATTTTTTGCTTTTTAGTTTTGACTTTTTGTTTGTTATTAGTTTTTGGTTTTTTGTTTTTTGAAGTCGGTTTTTTATTAGAGACTAATGTCCCTAACAGTTTATTCAATTAAAATTCTAGTTAGGAATTTAGTGTTATTTTGTTAAGCGGAAGTGTCGTATGCTAACAGAATAAATATAAATGTGGTTCCATCTAGTCTTAAAACTAAGAAACTATAATATAACCGACTACATAGTAATATTATGTAATCTATATACATTAATAAGATTATGTAGTCTGTGAAAAGAAAAATAAATTTGACAGTTCGTTACTATCAATGGTCGTTTCATTTCTAGAACAATAACCAAAGAGTATAATAAGTATAGGGGATAATAACTTAGTTACTGAATCGATTGTACCTTGGACAAGACTGATTCATAAACCCAAATTTTGTCAGAAGTCATTACTCTACGCAAACGGTCGCGGGCATCAGCTATTAAATAAATACAATAAGTACTAGGAAGAAAATATGACAAATAAAAAACAATAATTTCATACAATTTATTCAGTTCAATTCGATGTACCACGAGGAGGTGAGGTTGGCTGAGGCACTGAGATGTTGTTGTGCCCCTTACATCCCATTTCACATGTTTTTCCATAAACTTGGAAGTAGACATAGACATTACCTATTTTAGTAGCTTCCAATATTCTTCCATCATCGATTTTAACTTAAATGGCCGGTTAAAATCTCATAAGTTTTAAATATTTATTTCTATAAATAAAAATAAATGAAGGACTGTGTACAACGAATGCATGAAGTTGTGTTTATATTCTACCTATATTACGCTTATTGGTATTAAAACCTGTCATAGTTTGTAAAGTTTTCTTGTTCTTATTGTTTGTTTTATATTTTCTATCAAGTTTGCAATTTGTCATTTAATTTTAAGGACTTTTCTTGTCGGGACTGCCCATGAACACCTGAAACACCACGGCGTTACAAGTGTGTTACCGATATTTTGTGATTTGGGAATTTGAGGATTGTGGAAGATTGGGGATCAGGAAGACTGGCGAGGGGGGGGGATTAATTGGGCCTCTATAGCCTCACTTACACGACAAAACACAGCGCAAGCGTTGTGTCACCTCAGTTTTCTGAGAAGCCGTGGTAGCACTCCGGTCGAGCCGGCCCATTAGTGCCGATGCATGGCTCTCCCATACTTTAAATTGCACAGAACTGAATATTAATATTAGTCCTTTTCATTCTAGACTGTCAAGGCCAAATTTACTATGATAGTTTGCTGGTTTTTTATGGCATAAGCCGATAAACGAGCAGACGGATCACCTGATCACGGTAAGCAATCTGCACCGCCCATGGACACCTGAAACACCAAAGACACTAGAAGTGCGTTAGCGGTCTTTTGGGAATTTGAGGATTGTGGGGGATTCGGGGATTGGGGAGACTGATTATAATTGGGCCTCCGGTAACTTCACTCAAACGGCGAAACACTACGCAATTCTCCTTTAGGTAACCGTAGGTTGGGCTCGCTGTCATTGCCGCGGTAAGTCTTGAGAAGTGGCTTGAGAGACGCTACGGCGTCTTCACTACCGCCAGACGCAGGTGCGGGTCATCACTGCGAGGAGGACACGATGGAGCATACCGTACCGGCGTGCCTTGCGTGGGCTGAACACCGCCGTGTTCTCAGGGATGTAGTCGGCAACGGTGACCTGTCGCGTTCGGCTCTGGTTCAGGCTATGGAGCGAGAGGGATCGGGATGCCGTCTCCTCCTTCTGCGAAGCAGTTATGCTTGCCTTAGAGGAGGCGATGCGAAGCGAGGCCGATCTCCAACGTTCAGAGGGGCGTCGCCGGTCACCGTAAGTGCAGGTCTGCAGGCCGGAGCAAGGGTAGTTCGCCACCTGACCAGAACCCGTCCCGTGCATACGGCGCGCGCCTTTAGGAGCCATCACATCACCACAGATGGGGTCCAGTAGGGCTGATGCTCGATATGGTTTTCCACCCTTAAAAAAAAAGTTTCCTTTAGGTAATGTTAACGCGATGTGTAAAAAACTACCAAAAAACTCCTTATATTATTGGTATTGATTACGCTGTAGAAATTATGGACAATAGAGCCAAGGGATGTATTAGAGCTTTATAGAGGACATTAATATCAACATAAAAGTCCATGTATCATATATATGTACTAATCTAATGCCAGAATACTTATTTTTTAGTAACGTCGCAGAAGAAGTAAGCAAGAACGGAAACTATGCGTTAAAATATCAGGACCAAGGACGTTGAAATAAAGAGGGACTCTTACCTTTTAAACCATTGAACCTACTTGGTGAAATTCGATACAGCGATAGTTTGAGATCAGGGAAAGGACATCTTAAAGTTTTTAACCCGAAAATCCCACCGGACCGGAAACTAGCCATTAAAGTTCTGGCACTCTTTATCTTTTAAAGCACTATTATCTATTTGATTGAAATGCGACACAACATTGATTTGCAAACATAGAATAGTTTTTATCACTAAAACCTCACGAGACGGGCACTATACGGGTAAAACCTCTGTTGGATTGGTTATTTTCGAAACCACAAAAATAAATTTAAATTTCTCAATAAATATAACCTAAGTACTGAATCGACTGTTATATCTGTTACGACTGTACAGCCGTGGAATATACCTTGGCAAAGACTAATTGAAAACCCCAATTTATACAGAAGTCGCTATTTCACGCGGACGAAGTCGCGGGTAACAGCTAGTACAATATAAAATAATAAGACATTTACTTTAACACAATATAAAATAACACAGTTTTGCATTCATACACTCACACAACTTCGTGCATTCGTTGCACACAGTCCTCTAGCTTGACGCAAATATATCGCACTCTGGTGATGATGTCAACATGTGCATCCTCGACCTCTATTGCTATAAGCAGTAGGACAATCCCGTTGTAGATGTAAAACTTTCAACAGATAAAAGCGCGAAAGGAATTTGAGCTGTCATTCGTTGCTTCTCTGGATTTTTCTTCAGCTTTTTTGAGTTTTAATTTACTTATTAAATAGTCTACTGTTCTCTCCTTTTCAGGTAAAACATCAATTAAGTCTCCTAAATGACTGCAGCTCGATGGCTCTTGTTCAGTAACAGTTACACCAGCTTGCTCAAGCGGGCTTGACCTCATTAACAGATTTTTCAAAATCACCGCAGATATAAATGTATGTACATATAACTAACAATTTTTATCCATTCGTCTTTTAACACATGTGAGCCCGAAGTTATTTTTGAGTAACGAACTATGTCTCACGACACTTACTACACGATTTATTAATATATCATGTTCTAAGAGTTTTGCTTGTACCCAATCTTACCTCCACTTGTATACCTTATCTCTGCTAATGCCACCGTGCCTTCATAACCTATGATATTCACTATGAAAAGATCTCCTAAAAAGAATCGTTCCAAAAAAACTTTGCATAATGTTTGACTACAACACTAATGTCTTTGTCACGGTTCAAGTGCATGCCAAACAATTTTACAGATAAAGTGGCAGGAGGATGCTTTAGCCACTTTTGACTTATCTCTCGAATGTGAGCCAACGGTATGACGTCCGTGTTACCATAATCAACATACCTTATTTTAACGAGACCTTGTGTTTTGTTATATTGTTGAATCGATGCTCGGTACCAGTTATTGTCTGTTGAGCTTAGTGCAATACATGCTTTATTCTCAAATATTCCGTCCAGTGGTGACATGTTTATGTATTCATACTGGAGCTCCAGGCCATGTCTTCATAAATCGTGTAGAGACTTTCATCATCAAATATAATATGAACAGGTAATGTATTAACATCGTGAATTTCAACGATATCGCAAATAAATTTATTCCCACAATGTTTTGGGTATGTAGGAAACTTGGCAGTTATTGCAGAGTCTTCATTTTCCTTTGAGCTTGCACTTTTTGGGTTATCAATTCTTTGTTCTCTTTAATAATCCAACTATCTTGGTATTCAGCCCTTTGAATATTTACTAAGTAATCATTTACCCACAAAGAATCATACCTCAGTTCTATTGGTACGACGCCGTCTACTTCATCACCGACCACTTTTACAAAGCATTCTTTTAATACAATCGATTTGCGAAGGTATTTTAATGTTTCCTCGTCCCATGTCTTTCCCATGGGACGTATACGATTTAACGAGCATCTAAGTGAGCGCGGTGGGATGTGGCGGAGCGGAACACCTTTTCTTAACTTTGCAAAGGGCCACGTTTCTACATATCCATAGTCTATGAAATGAACGACGCATGTTTTACTTTTTTGATTGCTTTCAAGCACTCGTCCTCTAAAGGGCTCATACGTTGATTCTAGTACTACGCATGGTTGCCCCACACTCCATTTTCTAAACATTGCCTCTGGGTCTGGATCTTTATAATTCACACAAGAGATTGCAATTAATTCTTTGCGTATAAGTTCCCGTGTGTGTTTTATATGACTGTCATATAAGTAAATTATGCCTTTTTTGTCTATGTACCTGCAATAAGAAAAAATATAATGGTTAGGTAGTAAGTATACTTTATGATTATGACTGTCAACCAACTAGTCCAAAGTAAGAATAATTGAAGTCATAACTATTTACAACCTAAACATGCGAACCAATGATGAATTTTGTTCAAAAAGCAATAGTGTATGTTTTTTTTAAGAAAGAATGAACAACTGCTCCCGCCTTAGTGTCAGACTCTTACTGACTAAAATCCACCCCGTTCCTTCGCCTGCACATGCCGGAGCCCCGGTAACCCGTTAGGTTCTCCACGACTCCGAATCGGCATCAGCCCTGTTGGGCCCCATCCGTGGTGGTCTGATGGCTCTTTGCGGCGCGCGCTGAACGCGACGCGCCGTACGCTCGGGTCTGTTTCTGGTCGGACGTGGAGCCACCTATGTCCGCGCTTACGTTGGCCGGAGATCGTCCCGCGATACCCGACGTGAATTTAGTCTTGACATATTCGATACTTACGTCGGCAATGCCGTAAATTCCCTAACCAATAATTCCGGTGGTAGCCAATCCTCAAAGAAGGAAGGACTGGGATCTTCTTTAGCAACTTCATCTTCAGCATTTTTATCAGTTGGACCCTGGACACGAACAAAAAGGAGAAAAAGATTTATTACCCGAACTACGGCAAAACAAAAGCGTATGTATGTATGTATGTATGCATGTATGTATGTATGTGTGTATGTATGTATGTATGTATGTGTGTTTGTATGTATGTGTGTATGTATGTATGTATGTATGTATGTATCTGTTCCCTCGAAGCTTCTAAACTACTTATCAGAATCCGACAAATGACATATCATTAGAAGCGTCTTAATTGTCCGCTTGTTATAGGCTATATGGGGTTTCATAAAGCTATTGTGGCGCGCTCTAGCGGACAATAGATACAGAGTAAAAAAATAAGGTTAAGATAAATATGCCTTGTTTGGTATCATTTGAAAGCGTTTTACTTGTACATTAATTGAATATTGGCAATAGCCCCTATTACACGGGACTCATAACATAAATAGTGAAAAGTGGGTGTCACATTGTACAGTGGTATAATGTGCACCTCTGCCAACCCCTTCGGGGATAAAAGGCGTGATATTATGTTATGTTATTAATTGAATATATATAATTATGTATTACTAGCATTTGCTTGTGACTTTACCTGTATTCATGGGCTGATTGCATATAATTCACATCTTTTCGTTCAAAACTTCTTTACTACTTATCAGAATAAGAGCAGTATCACTAGAAGAGCCTTGATATTCTTTTGGTTATCTTTATGTATATAATTCTTCTGTGAGTGTTTCACTGAACTTCTCTCAAACGACTGGACCGATTTTGATGAAATTTTTTGTATGTGTTCAAGGAGATCTGGGAATGGTTTAGATTCACAAATTAGCCCGGCAGATGGCGCTGCAGTCGATGTTTAGGTTATTTATCCTAAACAGCTGAACTGATTTGAGTGAATTTTTGTTCATACATTCAAGTGGATATGCAGGACAACGTCTGTTGGGTCCGCTAGTGAGCTATAAAACTTGTCACGAAATATAGTATTGCACCCTCTAGCGGACAAAAAGTTCTATGTTAATTATTATGTTTTCGGCTTACTCACGTAGTAATTTGACGAGGAACTCGACGAGTTTCAAGCAATGCTAGAGGCTCATATTCATGAGCAGCATTTTGCGACCCGCGACGCGGCGACTGTCACGCTGCTACTGTAAGCCGAAAACAATAACTTATTTAGTACTTCTCATGAAAGTTACAATACAAGTTCTATGTTAATATAAAATTATAATAAATATACTGCCTCGTTGGCCGAGTGGTCGCAAGTGCGACTGCCGGGCAAGGGGTCTCGGGTTTGATTCCCGAGTCGGGCAAAGTATTATTTATTTACACTTTAATGCGCACAAAATAAGATACATACGGCGGACTTAATGCCATATGGCATTTTCTCCCAGTCAACCTTTGGGTTAAATGCAAAGTCATCGAAAATGGATATGTGTATAATGTACGAAAATAATTTGCAAAAAAAAAAACAAAATAAATAACTAATTGTAATAATAAATACTGTATAACATACTGTATAAAAATATATAATAAACACAAAATATGTACATAAATAACTTCATATATATAACATAACATAACATCACGCCTTTTATCCCCGAAGGGGTAGGCAGAGGTGCACACAGAGGTAACACCTACTTTTCACTATTTATGTTATGAGTCCCATGTAATAGGGGGTGAGCCTATTGCCATATACCGGGCACATTTCTAGACTCCGTGCTACTACTGAGATTTTTTTTTAAAACCCAGTAATACTTTACCCGACCCGGGAATCGAACCCGAGACCCCTTGCTCGGTAGTCGCACTTGCGACCACTCGGCCAACGAGGCAGGCTTCATATATATGTATAATTATAATATAATATAAATTGACGAAGACACGAATTCAGCGTTGTAGTGCCTTTAAATATACCTCACGAACACTACGTTTAAAAGCATCACTGGGTTAGTATACTGTAGGTCAGTATTACTGGGTTTTTATTACTAGGTGTATTTTATTAGGAGTAGGTTTAGTATTACTGGGTTTTAAAAAAATTCTCAGTAGTAGCACGGAGTCTGGAATTGTGCCCGGTATATGGCAATAGGCTCACCCCCTATTACATGGGACTCGACACATAAACAGTGAAAAGTGGGTGTTACATTGTACAGTGGCATAATATGCACCTCTACCTACCCCTTCGGGGATAAAGGGTGTGATATTATGTTGTAATAAATATAACGTGTTTGGTATCACTAGAAAGAACTTCACGAGTATTTTATGCTTGTACATAATTATAAGAATGCTTTAATAATGTTAAATATGAGCGATAAGAGTTAAGCGCGAATCACGGGAACTGTGAACCGCTTTATTACATAGTTCATCAATTTAACTTTTGTTTAATATTATGCGACACAAATAACACTTTAACTTCAAAATAGTACAAATAATAAAAAGAAAAATATAATAAAACATAGACTACGACAAAAACGACGATGAATAGAAAAAGTATAAAACAAATTTTCAGAATACTAAACTGAACAAAGTTCCTAATGTACTTGCAGGTACATCGACACGGTAGGCTACCGAGATGTCTTCTTTGTATATAGACAATAATACCATACAATACTATTCTGAAGTATTCAATAATTACTATTTATTTTTCATGTATGAAAGGCGAGTCACACGTTATATATACCTATCTACCGTAGCATTTTGAAAACGTGTGACAGTGGTTTTCCAAACATATCTCTACATAGTAATTCAAATTCAAATCACTTTAATGCATCTATAGTGTGTACAGGGTTGTTTACAATTTTTGACAAAATATGTTCCAACTATAGGCCCATTTGGGCACCGCAAAAGTACTTACTCTACTTACAAAATAATATTTTTTAATTAATGCAATAATTTAGTTATTTCAAATCTTATATAACTATTTTTAAGAATTTGTTTTAAAGTTACAAAAAAAATATTTCAACTTATTACCTTAATATGACACAAAAAACATTATCAAATACTACAATAACCACTTACATACCAATTTAATATTGCACTCCAATACTTATTATTTTATTATTCTACATGAGATCATTAACACTACTAGTGAATATTGCATACTTCAGTATAGTATTATAAGACATTATAGTAAATTTACAACGAAGGCATCTATCTTGATGGAGTTTACTATGTCCTTTTACTTGTTTATTTAATCTGTGTATCGAACAACATCAACTGAAGAAAAACCCTCATAATAAGGATGATGACAGGGTATGAAAATTAAAAATGTAATTAGTGCGTCAGTTAGGTTAGGTAATGAAAAAATATTAGACACGTATTATTTTGTTTTGTTGTATAATAAAATGATACGTAAATATAACGAATTAAGAGTGGGGCTAAAACATCATTTCTACGTATAAAATGTACAAAGAAGTGACGTTACGCGACATTTCAAATTAATATATCTTCGAAACTATTCGTTTCCGTAAAAAATAAAAATACGTGTCTAATGTTTTTAAATAATTACCAGACGGACATTAAATTAAAAATTAGTCTTACTCTGTCTAGTAGTAGTTATTAGTCTGTGTCGTGGGTGCGTTTACAAACATACAAGTTCACATACACAATGACACCCAGACCCGAAACAACAATTTGTGGATCACACAAAGTGTTGTCCCTTGCGGGAATCGAACCCGCGACACGGTGCACGGCAGCCGGTTGCCCAGCCACCCCACCAACCGTGCAGTCGATTATAATTGGGTTAATTCCATACGTTTCTATTACTAGTACGACTATAAGTACTATAAAATTATATTTGTTACTTACGGTTTGAGCTTCATTAGGACTGCTGGGCAGTGGTTTCAAACTTTTAGGTAGTTTTTCATCCATCATTCCTTCTTCTGCTAGTTCTTTGATGAAGGTTTTTGTAGAGGACACTGTAACAAACAAAATTTCCTGGATGAGCCGTGGTATATTTGTTAATAACTGAAGGTTGAGTACTAACGTAAAGAGTTACTCCGACAGAGCTTCCACTGCGCCTGCGGTTATCTACCTGACTGACTGTGTTCAGCTTGTAAAGTCCCTTTTATATTCTAACTTAAAAATAAAACACGTTACTGTAAACAATAGGACTTATTATCATTGTATAGGAGTTATAGAACAAGACCACCGTCCATCCCTTTGTTCGAAAACAAATTCGTTTTGTTCTATTTATGAAGGGTTCTAGGTTGGCTATTTAAAAGTATTTTAGTAATTACAGCTAATTTAAGAAAACGTAATTGCCTCATTAGCCGATGCACTGAGCGTGGTATTTTTATTTTGTTCGTGGTATTTTCACTGGAATTTCATAAAATTAAATATAATGGTTTTGGCAAATATTGACAATTAATTGATTCGGACCCTTTATACAATTAACTACTTAACATCTAAGTACAAAAAGATTACACTTATTTTATACATCTTCGACAGAAAAAAAGATCAGCCCTCTGGTCACGAGATGCGTCGACCAGGCGTTTCGAAATGTTTTTTAATAATTTAAGCGTACTCAGACCCCACGGACATAACATCTCAACCCTAAACGGCTCCAAGATATAACTACCAGCAAGGTTGTTATACTTCGCCGCTTGAGGTTTTCTGCAGAGGCAGCAGCCGAACCAGCACAACCCGCCGTTACTGGAAGATGAGATGGTGCAAGAGTGTCGACGCAGGTTGCGTCCCACGCCATAGACCACCCCATATCCCAGTTTCCAGGGCATAATGGACATACAGTCAGGTCTATAACAACGTGCCAATATTGAGTGACGGAAGTGCCTGAAGGCAGAGGCCTGATTCTCACTCACCCACAGCCAGCTAACTCCTCAGGATTGGTGCTCGTATTAATGAGATTATTATGTACCAACCTGCAAAGCGGCTCGTCCCATGGTTTCTGGGAGGAAGGGTTGACAGGCAAGGCTGTAATGGGACATGTTTCTGTGCAAACGTCCATCGCGTCGGTCAGACACGGCACGTCGGGTTCAGCGTTAACACAAACTTAATTCATATTTGTTACAGTTCTAGTGCTGTGAACAGAAGAGATGAACGCCGGTATACTTACATTGGAAATATTGCGGACGCCTAGACCACCAAAACGAATTGGTAGTGTGGCTTGAAGCCAAACACGATCGTCCATAGATGCATTCAAAAGCGAAGTTAATTGTTAATTGAATGTTAATTTAATCAATTTGATCCAGATACGCATACGGATGCTTCCACATAGTGGAAGCACGCAGAAAATACATACATTTTGGGCCGAAACAACAATAACGAATTAGATAATACAAATTAATTGTATTAATTAATTAATATAAATTGTATTAATTAGTACATTTAATTTGTTAAATAATTAATTAATTAATGTAAATTGCATTAATTAATTAATAAAGAATTGTACCTATTAATTAATGAATAAAGAATAGTCATTGTAGAATTTATTCAGAAATTGTTCGAAATTTCAAAATTACGATTAGAGCTCAATACACATAAATTACTGTCTTAATCTTAGGGACAGGATCAATTAGGAATAATTCTTTATTAATTATATTATATTAATGAAGAATTATTCTTTATTAATTAAATAATACAATTAATACAAGTAATTAATTACTAATCTAGGCGTTGTAGAATTTACTCAGAAATTGTTGGAAATTTAAAAATTACGATTAGAGCTCAATACACATAAATACCTGTCTTAATCTTAGGGACAGGATCATTTACATTTTTTTTGATTCTTTAAAAATGTATGTCCTCAGATGTAAAGTAGTTAATTGATTAAAGGGTTCTTACCCGTTTAATTGTTCGGACAATTTTTGCTTGACCTATTATTTTTATTATTTTAAGTAAAAATACCACGAACAAAATAAAAATACCACACTCGGTGCATTGGATAATGAGGCCATTATGTTTTCTGAAGTAAGACGTAATTTCTAAAATACTTTTGAATAGCCAACGTAGAACCCTTTGTTTGACAAAATAGAACTTTTCATAAATAGAACAAAACGAATTTGTTTTCGAACAAAGGGATGGACAAAAGTCTTGATCTTTAACTCCCATACAAGATTGTGCTTTGATAACAAGTTCTATTGTTTACTGTAACACGGTATTTTTCGGTGGTATATAAAACGGAACTTTGTAAGCTGAACACAGTCAGTCAGATAGTCGCAAGCGCAGTGGAAGCTTTGTCGGAGTCACTCTTTACGATAATACTGACGGGGAACACTCATACTTCAGTTTCAACAAATATACCACAGCTCATCCAGAAGAACTGATTAATACAGTCTCCTCTACAAAAATCTTCATCAAAGAACTAGCAGAAGAAGGAATCATGGATGAAAATTCACTCACCCACAGTATGAGGCTACTGGGTCTCTGCGGCCCTGATGAAGCTCAAGCCGTAAGTAACAAATATAATTTTAATATTTTGTCAAAACTAGAAATACACGGAATGAATCCATATATATTGGGGTCTTTATACAATGTGCAATTGTGAGGGCTCGTTTACCGGTTTAAGCCATAAAAACTTATTATTGGCAGCAAGTACCTATTAGCTCTCACATAGGACCCACTTAGTTTTTAATCAATTTTCCGTGGTGCTTATCGACTGGGCTTTAGCCAGTTGTACAGTCTCTTTTTGTGCCTTTAGGCTTAATTTATTTTGTATCCTGCAGTAATTTAGAAGGATGTGAAAACTATCGTTTTTTTAAAAAAACTTCTTTTTCTTATCCCTTAAAAAAAAGTTCTATTTTGTTGTGTCCAGGTTCCAACTGATAAAAATGCTGAAGATGAACTAAAAGATGAAGTTGCTAAAGAAGATCCCAGTCCTTCCTTCTCTGAGGACTGGCTACCACCAGAATTACTGGTTAAGGAATTTACGGCATTGCCGATGTAAGTATATATATTGTTGCTGTTTGAACAACATTAATCATTACTTTTCAATTTTAGGTTGTAAATAGTCATGGTTTTGTTTATTCAAACGTAGGGCTAGTTAATTGACAGTCATAAAGTTTACGTACTTAATTTCTATATTTTTTCTTATTGCAGGCACATAGACAATAAAGGCATAATTTACTTATATGACACTCATCATAAACACACACAGGAACTTATGTGCCAAGCATTGACTGCAAGGTTTTGTGTGAATTTTAAAGATCTTGACCCAGAAGCAATGTTTACAAAATGGAGTGTGGGACAACCATGCGTAGTACTACACTGTATGTACAAGTCCTATAGAGGACGAGTGCTTGAAGTTAATCAAAGAAGGAAAACATGCGTCGTTCATTTCATAGACTATGGGTATGTAAAGACGTGCTCCTTTGCAAAGTTACGGAAAGCTGTTCCGCTCCGCCACGTACCCCCGCATTCACTTAGATGCGCGTTAAATCGTATACGTCCCATAGGTAAGACATGGGACGAGGAAACATTAAACTACCTCCGCAAATCCATTATTGAAAAAGAATGCTTTGTAAAAGTGGTCGGTGATGAAGTAGACGGCGTCGTACCAATAGAACTACGGTATGAGACCCTCTGGGTCAATGATTACTTAGTCAATATTCAAAGGGCTGAATACCAAGATAGCTGGATTATTAAAAAGAACATAGAATTGATAATCCAAGAAGGTGCAAGCTTAAAGGTAGATGGAGACTCTGCAAATAATGCCAAGTTTCCTACATACCCAAAATATTATGGTAAACAATTTATTTGCGATGTCGTTGAAATTCACGATGTTAATACATTACCTGTTCATCTTATGTTCGATGATGAAAATATCTTTACAATTTATGAAGACATGTCATTGGCGCTCCAGCATGAATACGTGAACATGTCACCACTGGACGGAATATTCGAGAATAAAGCATGTATTGTACTATGCTCAGCAGACAATCACTGGTACCGAGCATCGATTCAACAATATAACAAAGCACAAGGCCTCGTTAAAATAAGGTATGTTGATCATGGTGACACGGACGTCATACCAGTAACAGATATTCGAGAAATAAGTCAAAAGTGGCTAAAGCATCCTCCTGCCACTTTATCTGTAAAATTGTTTGGCATGCACTTGAATCGTGACAAAGAAATCAGTGATGTAGTCAAACATTTCTCCGAAGTTTTTTTGGAAAGATTCTTTTTGAGGGGACTTTTCATAGTGAATATCATAGATTATGAAGGCACGGTGGCATTAGTAGAGATGACGTATACAAGTAGAGATTGGGTACAAGCAAAACTCATAGAACATGATATATTAATAAATCGTATGGTAAGTGTCGTGAGACATAGTTCGTTACTCAAAAATAACTTTGGGCTGACATCTGTTAAAAGACGAAAAATAATGGGTCAAAATTATTAATTCGTATCTGAACAACAAGTGCCCATTACGTATTTTACTCATCAAATACATATCACGAGTAAGAGTTGGTATGTTAAACTGTGACACTTTATGAACTACTACTGATGTACTTATGTCTATATTGGTCGTGTTTTTGTAACGCTAGTGTACTTTGAATTGAACTGAATAAAATTTATAAAATAATTATTGTTGCTTTTTTTCTTTGTCAATTTTTCTTTATTTATTTATAACATAGTATTTACAACTACAACTATAAAACTTGGAAACCATCACAGAAAAAAAGTCAAAATCATTTATTTCAATTAGACCACTTTTGAACGTCAACAACAAACATTTAAAAGAAGTTACTTGCTCATTCCAAAGTATAGGTCCTATGTGTTACGTCGAACCATAACCTACCTCTGTTCCAAATTTCATCCCGGTCCCTTCAGCCGGTTTGATGTGACAGAGTAACAACACACAAATACACAACTCACATATTTTCCCATTTATAGCTCTTTGCGTACCTTAATGT